CGCCCCGGGAACAGGCCTCAATGTAACAGCCTTCTCCTAGCGGGCCGCCCTCCCCGCCCCCAATTCACCTCGGCCAGATGATGGCTGCCTCTCGGAGCCCGCATTTCTCACCCGGCCCTTACCTCACATCATTCGGATCCCGCCCGGTGAGCTTGCGAATATTCTCATCCACGTTCTTTAGGCTCTCTTTGGCCTTTTCTAGCTGCTCCTGCAAAGTTCTCACTGCGACCGCCATCTTCTCCCTGCTGCAGGCTTCGAGACTGCTCCTCAGGCCGCGCCGGGCTGTGTCGCGCCGCCAGACGCGGGAGGATTGACAGCTGGGCTCAGCCAATGACGGTGGGCGTAGCTTTCGGCTTCAACCAACAGCAACCGGAAGGGGGCGAATCTGCCGGCTTTGTGACGCTGGGCCAATGAGAAGTCCGCCAGCCGGCCCCTCCCCCCCCACATGTAGCTGCGGGCGGCCGGGCTCGCTGTTGGCGCAGGCGCGGGGCGGAATTGTGAGTCCTTGGGTCCTCGGAGGGACGCGCTCGTGGGCTCGCTCTCCAGAGGAGGAGCGCGGAGGTTTGCAGCCCTTTTAATCCGTCATGTGACGAGCTTTACGCTGTTTAGCCTCCTAATCCCCTCAGAGTGGGTGGGAAGCGAGTCTGTTCACCCACCATCCACTCACCCCTATCAGTGATTAGGAAAGGGTGCGGCTGTTCTGTTGGTGCGCATGCCCAGAGAGTGTTGGAGGGGAGCAGTCTTTCCCCCCCATTAGGTTAAACCAAAATTAGTGGAGGGAAACAAGGAATGAAGAAACAGGAAAAGCCAGTAAAGGTAATAGCTAACAGTTACTTTGAAGACACTTTACGTGCCTTATGCCTCTCAATAGCTTTAAGAAAATGCCTGTTTTTCCTGATAAGGAGGCTGAGTCTAGGGATACCGTCCCTGTCTCTGTCTGTCCAGCCCTCGAATCAGTTGGCTCAGACCCTAAGGCTCCAGTAGTCTTAGTATATTAGACATACTAATCTACACTAATAAAAGAGAAACATGGTAATTGGCGTATGACGGCTACCCTTCCCATTGGCTAATCCCCCTGTCACTCACAGAGTAGGGCCAAGATATGCAAATTAACTGGCAGCCAAGATGGCAGCCGGCAGCCAGGCAGCTGATGCAAACAGGGAGCCTTGCTTGCCTCAGTGACAGAGAACTCCAACATTCCCTGCCTGACTTGCCAGCCTCTCAGCTGCAACTCGAATAAGGAAGCTAAAAAAACCCCAGAAACCTGCTTTACTCAGCTTCAGCCAGCCGCAACATTGTATCAAATACAGGCGGTAAACAAAGGCCAGAAACCTGTTTTCAGCAGCCGAGGCCTCAGAGCTAAAGCTGGCCCAGAATAAAAAAGAAAAAAAGGAGCGGTTGGGAGCTTCAGGCCCAGCCTGAAAACAGCCCTCAGTCCCTCAGCCAGACTGGCCAGGCACCCCAGTGGGGACCCCCACCCTGAAGGGTGTGTGACCAGCTGCAAACAGCCATCATTTGCTCACCCAGGCTGGCCAGGCAAACCAGTGGGGACCCCCACCCTGATCCAGGATACCCTTCAGGGCAAACCAGCCAGCCCCACCCATGCACCAGGCCTCTACCCTATATAGTAAAAGGGTAATATGCCTCCCAGCACTGGGATCCGCGTGACGGGGCAGCGCCCAAACCCCCTGATCACCCTGCGGCTCTGTGTGTGACAGGGGGCGGGGCCCCAACCCTTCCGCCCCCACGGGCCCTGCTCTGTGTGTGATGGCATAGAGCCATAACCTCCCCATTGGCCATGCCCTGAGTATGAGAGTGGCAGTGCCCCAACCACCTGATTGGCCCTGCTCTGTGGGTGTTAGAGCGCGGTGCCCCAATCCCCCCCCCCCACGGGCCCTGCTCTGTGTGTGATGGCATAGAGCCATAACCTCCCCATTGGCCATGCCCTGAGTATGAGAGTGGCAGTGCCCCAACCACCTGATTGGCCCTGCTCTGTGGGTGTTAGAGCGCGGTGCCCCAATCCCCCCCCCCCACGGGCCCTGCTCTGTGTGTGATGGCATAGAGCCATAACCTCCCCATTGGCCATGCCCTGAGTATGAGAGTGGCAGTGCCCCAACCACCTGATTGGCCCTGCTCTGTGGGTGTTAGAGCGCGGTGCCCCAATCCCCCCCCCCCACGGGCCCTGCTCTGTGTGTGATGGCATAGAGCCATAACCTCCCCATTGGCCATGCCCTGAGTATGAGAGTGGCAGTGCCCCAACCACCTGATTGGCCCTGCTCTGTGGGTGTTAGAGCGCGGTGCCCCAATCCCCCCCCCCCACGGGCCCTGCTCTGTGTGTGATGGCATAGAGCCATAACCTCCCCATTGGCCATGCCCTGAGTATGAGAGTGGCAGTGCCCCAACCACCTGATTGGCCCTGCTCTGTGGGTGTTAGAGCGCGGTGCCCCAATCCCCCCCCCCCACGGGCCCTGCTCTGTGTGTGATGGGGTAGAGTCATAACCTCCCCATCTGCCCTGCCCTGAGTGTGACAGTGGCGGCGCCCCAACCCCCTGATCGGCCCTGCCCTGTGGGTGATAGAAGATGGCGCCCCAACCCCCTGATCCACCCTGCCCTGAGTGTGACAGGGGGCAGTGCCCCAACCCCCTGATTGGCCCTGCTCTGTGCGTGATGGGGTGGCACCGCAACCTCCCCATCGACCCTGCCTTGAGTGTGACGGGGCGGTGCCCAACCCCCCAATTGGCCCTACCCTGAGCGTGACTGAGGGTGGCATCGCAACCTCCCAATCTGCCCTGCTCTGTGCATGACAGGGGGCAGCACCCCAACTCCCCAATCGGCCCTGCTCTGAGCCCGACTAGGGGCTGCACCTAGGGATTGGGCCTGCCCTCTGCCACCTGGGAGCAGGCCTAAGCCAGCAGGTCGTTATCTCCCGAGGGGTCCCAGACTGCAAGAGGGCACAGGCCAGTCTGAGGGACCCCCCTTCCCCCGAGTGCACACATTTTTGTGCACCGGGCCTCTAGTTTAGTATAAGAAGCGCCAGGAGTCTTAGCATATGAATTAAGTCCCAAGGACATCCGACCTCAGCAATAAACTGCCACGTCCTCCACCTCCTCTAGGACCAGAATGGGCCTGCTATCTGACTTGGATGGGCCTTCAAGATATTTACAACAAAAAAGCAACTACAAGACATGAGACAGTCATTAGCCTCTACACCTGGCCCAGAGCTGGTTAGCTTAAGATGGGGTCCAGGGAGCCCGTGCTATTGTTGGTTGTGTGTGTATGTGTGTGTGTGTGTGTGTGTGTGTGTGTGTGTGTGTGAGAGAGAGACAAAGAGAGAGAGAGAGAGAGAGAGAGAGAGAGAGAGACCAGCAGCGCCAAGGATGTCCGACTGACAGCTTGGGGAGTACGGGGAGCAGGCCTAAGATGTTAGTCGGACATCCCCTGAGGGTTCCTGGACTGCCAGCTTCTGGTTCTGCTCTACCTGTGTTGCCAACAGAAAAAAATATATATATATATTAAAAGGCTAATATGCAAATCGACCAAATGGCAGAATGACCAGTCACTATGATGCACACTGACCACCAGGAGGCAGATGCTCAATGCAAGAGCTGCCCCCTGGTGTTCAATGTGCTCCCACAGGGGGAGCGCTGCTCAGCCAGAAGCCGGGCCCACAGCTGGTGAGTGCAGCAGTGGTGGCGGGAACCTCTCCTGCCTCCCCAGCAGCGCCAAGGATGTCCGACTGACAGCTTGGGGAGTACGGGGAGCAGGCCTAAGATGTTAGTCGGACATCCCCTGAGGGTTCCTGGACTGCGAGAGGGTGCCAGCCGGGCTGAGGGACCACCCAAGTGCACAAATTTCGTGCACTGGGTCTCTAGAGTGTGTGTGTGTGTGTGTGTGTGTGTGTGTGTATTAGCTGGGAAAGCATTTTCTCATACAAACAATGTTACAAATAACCTTTGGGTTCTCATTTTCATATGTTAGCAGGCAACCTCCTGGCACCAAGCATTAGCAAGTCAACTGTATTTAACTCCAGTAACCATCTTAATTCACCCAACCTTTAAATGCTCCTCCCATGTAGAAGCAGCAACCTAGGCTCTGAGGATAAATCCTAGAGTAAGATAGGTGTGGTTCCTGCTTTTCTGGAGTTTATAAACTCTTAAGGGAGCAAAGATCATTCATATACTGATTCATTCAACAAATATCCAGTGAGCGCCTATTATGTGCCAGCCACTATTCCAAGAAGTTGGATATATGAGTGTACAAAAAAGATCTGTTCCCTCGAGCTTGGGAGCAGCAAGAGTGTGGAAACAGAGGACAAACATCAGTAAATTATGTAGCATGTTAGTGAAAGAGAGCAGACTATGCCAAGCCAACATGTGCCAGTTGGGCATATGAATTATTTTGAGCTGAATGCAGTTAAGACCCAGCAGACTTAAGAAATACTTTTACCACTCCCTAACTACCTACAGTAATTTAGTTAGGGGGCCTGGGCCAGAAAGAGATATTACCAGAGTTAACTTTTCTTTCTTTTTTAAAAATTAAATTTATTTGGTGCCATTGGTTAATAAGATTATATGTTTCAAGTGTACAATATTATAGTACATAATCTGAGAGATAACGTTTTATCTGAAAGGCTTGCCTGCATAGCTTGGCAAACATCTGATTACCAAACATCTGCTCTTCTACCTGTGAGTTGTCCTCCCATTTGAAGCCCCAGGTTCCTAGCTCAGGACAGCATATAAACCTAAATTGCCTGTCTTTGGGGTCTCATATTTTTATGGAGCTTCCAAATTCATGAAATTAAATTTATTTTCCTCCTGTTAATCTATTTAAGTCAACTTAATTATTAAACCAGCCAACAAACCTAAAATGTCTAGAAGGAAAACTTTTCCACCCCAGCATTAGAAAGGAAGAAGTGCTATTGGAAAAAAAAAAAAAAAGCGAAAGTAAAGCTAGGTAAGAAGGATGAGGATTAATGAATAACTATTTCTTTCTGCTTATGAGCATACCTGGTCTCTGACCCATATTACAATCCCATGTTGCAGGCCGTACATGAATCAGGAGGATGTTGCAGAAGTAGATCCTAACACCAAATAGAAAAGTGTTTCCATAAAAAAATGCTTTTAGCTGTAACCGGTTTGGATACAGCGTCGGCCTGCAGACTGAAAGGTCCCAGGTTCGATTCCAGTCGAGGGCATGTTCGATTCCGGTCAAGGGCATGTACCTACCTGGGTTTCGGGCACATCCCCAGTAGGAGATGTGCAAGGAGGCAGCTGATTGATATTTCTCTCTCATCGATGTTTCTAACTATCTCCCTTCCTCTCTGTAAAAAAAAAAAAAAAAAAAAAATGCTTTTAGAGTTAACCAAAACCAGGATCTATTCCTGTTTCCAAAGGATCTGTTACTTGGATCCTGGCCAATTTAACATAGTCTGATTTATGGGGAGAGAATCAGTGAAATGCTGTGTTCAACATTTACAGTAGTAGATGCTCAATAAATGTTTCACCTCCATTCTCCAAAATATTCTAAGAATTCCATGTTATTATAGTTTGAGAAGTCAACTTTAATAAGTTGGTCAATTGCTTATTCTTCAACCTCAATAGGGAGCCTGGATTCCTCCTATTCCTTGGTGATAGTGATGAAGGAAAAATGCAATTAGGCCCTAACTGGTTTGGCTCAGTGGATAGAGCTTCAGTCTGCAGACTGAAAGATCCCAGGCTTGATTCCGGTCAAGGGCATGTACGTTGGTTGCAGGCACATCCCCAGTAGGGAGTGTGCAGGAGGCAGCTGATGGATATTTCTCTCTCATTGATATTTCTAACTCTCCCTCTCCCTTCCTCTCTGTAAAATATCAATAAAAACATATTTTTTTTAAAAAAAGAATGCAAATGGGACATAAAGGACCTGACTTCACATGAGAAATTTTAGTGCTGGAAAAATTAAGATTATATTTTCAAAATTACACTATTTAGTGTTTTCAAAACCTTAGGTGGAACTTTTATGCTTATTTTATGTGATGATCAAATAAAGTGATCCAAGCATTAGAAGAGACATGTAAAGAAAAAGCTACCATAATTCCAGTTATTCACATGATCTTAAATTCCTGTGAAAGGATATGAAGAGTTGAGAGGTTAAAATTTGAGAAAACTCAATATGTTAATTTTTGGGCAGCAATGAATTAATTGGAAAAAAATCTGCTTTGTCTATTAAGACAAGAGCTAATCACATGCTAAGCAACACATTTAACTAATCCAAATTTGCAAAATTTAAGAGATACATATATCTAACATGGGTATTTGCATTGCTTTAGTTGTTTCACATCTGTCATGGGTTATTATGAACTCTATCCCACAACAACATTGCTTTTCTGAGGTCTTTAGCACTTTATCTATTCACTGAATTCTCTGATTAATTTGTGTATTCTGGTTCAAGAGTATCTAGTTCTTTGCTTACTTCCTTGCCTCTTCCTGGTGTCCAAAATGGCTTTAAATCGTCTTTCTACCTAGGCTTAAACTAATATGGATTGGGATAATTTCTCAATGTATCTAAAATGTATAGCCTGAAAAATTATGATTTATTCACTGTTTTTACAACTTTTCATATTAAATATAGGGCAGGAAGTGGAAGCTTTGGATGAAGCCTATAGACCAGCAGTTCTCAACCTGTGGGTCGCGACCCTTTCACAGGGGTCGCCTAAGACCATCGGAAAACACATATATAATTACATATTGTTTTTGTGATTAGTCACTATGCTTTAATTATGTTCAGTTTGTAAGAATGAAAATACATCCTGCATATCAGATATTTACATTACGATTCATAACAGTAGCAAAATTACAGTTATGAAGTAGCAACGAAAATAATTGGGGGGTCACCACAACATGAGGAACTGTATTAAAGGGTGGCCGCATTAGGAAGGTTGAGAACCACTGCTATAGACTTTCTTGTGGGTTCATCCAACTCCCAGGAAATTAACACGGAGGTGGCCCTGGGGGTTTCCTTGATCTTAACACCATCCCTCCCCAGCGCCACCCCAGCCGTATCGCCTGGACCCCAGCGACGTCACACGGGCACCAGCAGTTCACCCCAGGGGAGGAACTCCGCGATCACAGAGCTGACCGGGTGCCCGGGTAGAGGGGACCGGAAGTTGTATTTTCGCCCCCCGCCCAGGGGCCGGCCGGGTGTCTGCGAGTTGGGTTTGGTTCCCGCCCTTGTCAGAGTCTCGGGTCGGGCCGCAAAGCTAGGCAGCCCGGGGTGGGCTCACTGCAGAGCCCGCCTTCGGGAGACGGTGTAGATTCCCCGGTCTCCTAGCAACACGGGCCGGGCCGCAGACCGACGGGGCGGCGGGGCGGCCCACATCTCTCAGGCGCGCGAGCCGGAGCCGAAAACCAGAGCTTAAGAATAAGCAGGAAATGGCGGACGAGGCGTTGTTTTTGCTGCTCCATAACGAGATGGTGTCAGGCGTGTACAAGTCCGCGGAGCAGGGGGAGGTGGTGAGTTTCCCTCCGTTCCTTCCTCCCACCCACGTCCCCGGTGCTGCCTGCGGATTCCTCGGCCCTGTAAGGGGGAGCTGTCTGCGGTCTTCCATCTGCTCTTCTTTCGCATCTTCTATTTGATACCTTTTCGTCCATTTCCATACCTGTGACCTGCAGGCCGCAGATTTCCTTTCTTTCAGTGTTGTCTCTACCGTGCTTTAGGGTAGGGTTAACTGCACAGCCGACTTTGGCACCCGCTTAATAATTCTCCATTTCCAGCGCTCCTGAGCGGCCCGCCGCGCAGTCTGTCCCAGCCTGCGATCCAGCCCCTCCCTCCGAACCCCTCGCCGCAGTCCCTACCACTCCGCCCAACCCCAAGACACACCCGATGAGGTTTGAGGTCAAAGCAGTTTGCAGGCGTTACTATAATTAGGAAGCTAATTAATTAATTAATTAAAAAATACTTAATGCCCATTGTGTTAGAGCTGGTTTTCTAGGTGCTGGGGGTATAGTAATGAAGGAAACAATGGCCCCATTCTTGTAGAGGTTACCTCTAATATGTGGGAGTCCTCATTCACTCATTGATACACTCCGAAAACTTTTAGTACAGATTGTGGCCCTGACACTGTGCTAGATGAGTAAGATAAAATCCCTGCCTCACAGTGGTTGGGGAATGGGGGTTCAACGAATAATTAAGGTTTTGGCTGGTAATTAGGTATGGAATTATGGAGTTGTAACAGGCTTTATAAATGAGATATTCCAAAGTCATGCTCAAGTCAGAAGCCCTTTCTCTAATGCTATTGATAAAGAGGGGTGGAAAGTGGGGGTAGGAAAAGCATCCTAGGCAGAGGTAAAGGCACAGAGATATGAATGAGTGTCAAGTATTTAAATATGCTTAAGTATTTCATTGTGACTAGATTGGATAGGGAGAGTTAAATGTGTTAAGAGCTAAAACTAGAAAGACCCTTGTATGATTAAAGAATTAGAACCTAAAATAAATAAATAAATAATTAGAACCTTCTTAGTGGAAGAGTTAAAGGGTTTTTAAGGGGGAATGACATGGCCCATTCATGTGTTAGAAAGGGGCTGGCTGGATGGGAAGATCCTTGTAGTGAGAAGATCATGTATTGCAGGCCCTCAGGCAGGAGGTGACGAAAATCTGAATTAAGACAGGGATAGAGAGAAGAGGAGCGAACAAATTTGAAAAATAAGAGGTGGAATCTCTAGGACTTGGTTAGGTATAGGAGTGAGAATTGAAAATTTAGAGTGAGAAGCCTGGTTGGTTGGAGAGAAATAAAGGAGAAGAAAGAGATGAAGATAATGAATTTTTCATTTGGAGGCAGGTTGAAATTTTGATATGCCTGTAGGACAGCGGTTCTTAACCTGTGGGTCGCGACCCCTTTGGCGGTCGAACGACCCTTTCACAGGGGTCGCCTAAGACCATCCTGCATATCAG